TTCATCAAATTGTACATTAAATACCTTCAGCTTTTTGTACATCAATCAGATCTCAATAAAATGGCTTAAAGGTAAGAAGCAGCTCATAACTTTGCAGAGTGGAACCTGCGAGAATAGGGATGTTTGGTTTTCTTCACTGTTCTTTTTTCCTGTCAGAGGAGATGTGGGAAACTTGGAATCCAATTATCCTGCATTTATGTCTGAACCCTCCTTGAGATATGAAGGGCAGATGCTGCCCTGTGCCTAGGTTTCAGACAGAAAAACATAGGGATATGATTTGTCTACTGTCACTTCTACCTCAAGAAGTCATTTCTTGAGATTTTTTTTTAATTGGCTACCTGGGCCAGCCAAAGCCTGGTGGTTAAGCTACAACTCTCATCAAGAGTAATAGAATGAGGTGTGAATGAATATTAGAAAGACCTGGTTTTAAGTCTGGACTCTGCTTTTTGCAACAGAGTGACTTTGAGAAAACTCTATAACCCCTTGGCGCCTTTGTGCCTAGCGAAGAGTGGTCATCTCAAACGTTTATTTGTAGGATAAGTAAAGTATTATTATAGTGGAGGATGACTAGAGAGACTTCAATAAATGGTGCTTTCAAATATAAGAGACATATCAAATGCTACATTCCTCAAATTTCTAACCTTTCTCTTAAGCCACGTAGAGCAGATGCCCTCTCTGTTGCACATCACACCTCCTCAGCTCCCCTCTGACTTCACCAGTAGTTATGGAAGATGCTTTCATCAGTTTATTTCCCATCTCAAGTAGGTGCTCCTTCTTCTTTTTTTTTTCTGCTTAAGCATTCTTCAAGGTGCAAATTGAAGATACAGAGTGTTTAAAGCCTCAGGGGCAAATCTCAGTTGAATAAGAATGAGTTGATGGCTGGGGATACAGCTCAGTGGCACCAGTGCCTGGCGAGCACGATCCTGAGTTTGACTCCTGGTAGCACCCTCCCCCCCCCAAAAAAAAAAAAAAAAACAATGAGCTGATGCACAAGTGTCTAAGCCCTTCTTTTGGACAGATGTGTCTCCAAAGTATCTGGTACAGAATTCCTGGCAGATCGGGGTGTGTTCTTGGTAACACATCTACATAGAATTTTCTCTCTTCTGGTGTTACTTTTCTGTTCCTTCACTCCCATCTTTCAGAAGCATGTCTTATTTACAGTATTTCACCCAAGTCTTTGTCTCAGACTCTGCTTTGTTGCACTCAACTCAAAACAATGTGCATTTTAATGCAATCTGTTCCCTCACGCTTGTGCGACTCTCATGTGTTTATCATTTTGCTAAAGCTCACCAGCAAAAGACTGCTAGATGTATAGCTGCAGTCAAACAAAGCTAGTTTTATTAACTTGCTGCAGCTAAGGAGCACATATCAAAAGAATCATTACATGTTTCAAAAGAAGTACATTTATAGAATGAGGCCATGGTTTATCCCGAGATAGGTTTCTGAGTTGATTCTTCAGGAGTTTTGGTTTTAGAATTTATGAGTTATGGGGAATTAGCCATCAGTCTGTTTTTGACCTTGAAGCAAATGAGCTGAACAAACAAGATTTACAAAATCTTGAGTTTAGATCATTTATATGCCTATCAAAAATTAGGCTGGATGGTCTATTTATTTTATGTTTTCCATTTTATAGGTTTTATGATTTCTCCTTCAATTTTCAGTTCTTCCTCATAGCTTAGGTGCTCAAAGGGATAATTTCCTCCTTTTTTTTAACTTTCAGGGCTCTAATAGGATGGATAGATAGACAGAAATTAAGGGATGTGGAGAGAAAGAAAGACTTACATTAAAAATTGGTCACCTGGTCTCCTTCTGCACTGTTGATAGGGGTGGAGGCCATTTGGACCCCTGTGGAAATCAATGGGGAGATTCCTTAAAAAAACCTAAAACTAGAGGTTCTGTTTGACCCAGCTATTTTCCCCATCTTTGTTTCTTCCTGAGAGAATTAAATGCATCATACCAGGCTGGCTAGATAGCTCAGTGATTAAAGCACCTACTTAGGCAGACTCAGAACCTGGAGAGTTGATCTTCAGCCTGCTGTGCCAGTCTTGCCTCTGGGGCATGAGATTGGGCATGGTGGCATGCACCTGTAATCCTAGCTCTTGGGAGGCTGAAAAACAGGAAGGATCATTACAAGTCCGATCTGTGTAGAGAGACCCTGTTGACCCTGTACTAAATACATAAAAAATAATAAAATAAAGCATCATACCACAGTGATATATGCACATTCATGTTGATAGCAAAGTTTGTAATAGCTAAATCTTGGAAACAGCCCAAATGCTCCTCAACCATTTTTTTTTTGAGTACTCATGAGCCTCAAGGAAGGATAAACTTGGGATATTTCTACTTCAAAGGGTGCAACTTGAGACCGTACACTTAGGTGGAGTAAATTGGACACACATGTAAATATCACATCCTTTCTCTATTGTGAGAAACTGAAAGTGTGAATAAGGACCAAAATGTAAAATAGATATTGTGAAAAAGGAAGAACATATTTAAATGGTATGGGGAACTAGAGAGAGAAGAGAAGGGAGGGAGGAATGGAGTAGGAAAAAAATAGGAAAAGAAGGAAAAAAAATGGCAACAAAACTTTCATAAATAGGAAGGAAAGAGGTTGAAGGGAGGGGAGCAGAATGGGCCAAAGATCAAGCTATATCACGCACAGATACAAGTTCTCTGTGATGAAAATGACCCACATAGACATCTAAAATGTACCAATAAAGTTAATTAATTAAAACAAAAGAATTGATGCCATGATCATAAAGTCTAGAGACTCCAAAATCTGCCGGGTTTCTTGACAAGGGAGACACTCAAGGAAAAGTCAACATTACTGTTCAAATCCTAAGGCTGTGGCTGGCACAGAGCACCCTTTTAGCAGAGAGAATATTTTATTAGTTCCCTAAACTGATTGGATTGAATCCCTATTACAGAAGAAAGCTCAGTTTATTGAAAATCCACTGATTTAAGTGTTAATGACATCCAAAAACATCTTAATGGAAACATCTAAAAATGTTTCACTAAATATCCACACACCATATCCGCCCAGGAAAGCTGATAGACAATATTAACCATCATAAGATTGTGTGATTATGTCCCATATGTATATGATTGTCACTTTATTCTTTTACTTAGAAAGACCTTGCTAGACTATTATCTGATAGTCACTGGAGGATCTGCAAAGTATTCTTGGGAACGAACCACAGCAACCTGAGCCTGGCTGCTTTGTTGAAGCAGGCATTAAATAGCTGAGCTAAGGGGCAGGGTCCCCCAAAGTATACCTGGAATTTATTTTTTTTCCTATATTTTTGCCTCAGAAAGAAAATCTAATAGGAGGGTATAGAAAAGTGCGTGACTTACCCAGGCGTCAGGGCACTGTGACAGCACCTTTGCTGCTCCTCTTCTCTCGCCCTCCGGCTATGGGACCATATGTGAATACAGTTGGTGTCCTTCATGATGGTATTTGAAGACTGAAAATATTTCCACTAAAAGCTCTGGGCCTGTTACCCCCTCAGTAGGCCTATTATTAAAGCTTTGCTACTTTGGACTAAATATTATCATTTTCAGAGCTACTTTAAAAGATAAACATTTCATAACATATTTTTTAGCCCAATGTATCCAAAGTATAACAACTTAAATATATTTTTATGCAACATTTGTACCAAAACATTTTGAATTGTATTTTGGTAATTGTTTATTATTTGTGTAACATGAACCTTACCATTTTAAACATTAACTGTACAGTTTAGTGGCAACAGGTACATTCATACTGTTCCACACAATCACCATTATCCATTTTCAGAATTTATTTGTCAAAGTGAAATTCTGTATCCACCCAAACTCCCTCAGGTTTCTGTTCTTCACTAGAGTTGGTGGGCAATTCAATAGAGACAGCTGACCTTGGAACAAGAGGCGTTCAGCACCTTTACAGATATGGAAGGGAGACTTTCTGGGGTCCCCACACTAATGAGAAAAAAGACTAAAAAATCTCTCACATCTACAAATATTAGTTTATAGGAGTACATAAACATAAAAACAGTGTAGAGATAACACTTAGCAAACATTTTAAAAATTATTCGATCAGTTACCTAAGTTAAAACTCAGTTAATGTTATATACTGTACATTCAAAATATTTGACAGATACAGGACACAGTTTAAAAAAGGAAGACATTACAAAGGAGATATGAGACAAAGGAGCCAAAATATTCTTCCTTAATCTGGGAAGAAGCATGTGCTAAAAGCACTGTAAAAGTGAAGAGTGAAGTAAACTGAATTTGTTGCCCCCAGGGTTATCTCTCAGGACAAACACAAGACATTATTTTAGCATGCAGCAGAAAGAAAACAGAGGCCTTGTGCAGGTGGAGGAAATAAATGGCAGATGTTAAAGAGGAAGCAACATGACATGGTAGTTAAGTAACTGTACTCAATTACCAAATTTAATTTCAAATCTTTGGCATAGCACACATGAGTGGTGTGACTTAATTACCTTGCCAATGTAAGTTTCATTTCTGTCACTTGTAATGAGGGGACAAAAATGGTATCTAGCCTATAAAATTTTAAAGATCACTAAAAACTTATCACAGGGCCTGGAGCATTGTAAGCAAATAACATATACCTATAAGCATTCTTATTAAGAGTTTGGAAAATCCAGGAAATGTATAAAAACCCCAGAGTGAGGACTGTGGGTTTCCTAAATTAGCAGTTTTATTTCCCTCATTTAAGAACCTGTGCTTGTCAAACAATGTATTCATAACAAAATATTTAGAAAGTAGGCATAAAATTGACATTACCAATAATTTGAGCACACTTCTTCCAAAGCCTAGGCTGTTTTTCAAGTTAGTTTCAGTTTTATATCCTGATTGTTTTTTTACCTATGTTACAAGGCTGTTTCATTTCATTTCATTTATTATTTATTTATTTATTTTTGGCTATTTTGAGACAGGGTTTCTCTATGAACTTCTTTTGTAGCGAAGGCTGGTCTCAAATTCTCAGTGACCCTCCTGCCTCAGTTGCCCGAGTGCTTGGATTACAGGTGTGTACCACCACACCCAGCTGGCTGTTTCATTTTAATCACAGTCATTAACCAAATGATACATAATATGGATTAGTCTGCATAATATTCCATGAAGTAAATGAACTATACAGCTGGAGAAAAACACTGATGTGCTTACAGCCAACTGGAATTAAGCTCCTGTTATGGGATAATTGTATTAAAACAGGAAGGATGGGGAAGTGGACTAGTAAGGGTCACCCATGTCACGCAGTTTGGATGTCCTTGTCACAGCTGATCTTGAACATCGCCAGCACCCGGATTCGGATCTGTTTGGTCTTGGCACCGTAGATGATGGGATTGATGACCGGAGGCAGCAGCAGGTAGACATCTCCCATGAGAACATGCACAATGGGATCGAGGCTATTTCCAAAGCGGTGCACCACTGAGAGGCCGATGAGGGGCACATAGAAGGCCAGGACCACACCAATGTGTGACACGCAGGTACCAAAGGCCTTGGCTCGCTCCGACTTGGAAGGCAGTTGCAGAACTGTTCGTATGATCAGGAAATAGGACAAAGAGATGAACATGACATCTACGCCCATGACTAGCAGAATGGCAGTGAGACCGTAGACGACATTGGGCAAGGTGTCAGCGTAGGCTAGCTTCATCACATCCTGGTGCACACAGTAGGAGTGGGAAAGCACATTGGAGTGGCAGAAGGCCAGCCGCTTGATGAGCAGTGGAAGTGGAAAGAAGAAGAGGGAGCCGCGGACCACGGCTACTACGCCAATCTGGGCTGTCACTGTGTTGTTGAGGACTGCGGCATGGCGCAGTGGGTGGCAGATGGCCACGTAGCGGTCAAAGGCCATGGCCAGCAGGATGGTGGATTCAATGGCTGAAAGAGCATGGATAAAGAACATCTGGGCAAGGCAGGCATCAAAAGTGATCTCCCGGGAGTCAAACCAGAAGAGGGCCAGGATCTTGGGCATGGTGGAGGTAGACAAGGCCAGGTCAATGGCTGCCAGCATGCAGAGGAAGAGGTACATGGGTGCGTGCAAGCTGCGCTCCGTCCTGACAATGAAGACCACAACGCAGTTTCCAAACAGTGCCACTGCGTACATTGACAGCAGGGGGAAACCAAACCAGAAGTGGGCTTCCTCTAGGCCTGGGACACCAATGAGCACAAAGCTGGCATGTGTGAAGTTGCAGGAACTCATAGCTGGCACTGAGGAGGGGCACTGAAGAGGGTGAGGTCACATTGGCAGCCTGCAAGGACACAGAGCACAGTCAGAGAGCTCCCTGGGCCCCTGGGGATCGAGTGTGTCCTAGCTCTTCCCCCTCTGCCACCCACCCACTCAAGCTTGTTCATAAGCAGTAAGGCCCTCTTCTCCAGAGAACAGCTGTGACAGCTCACACTGACTTACTAGCTACTACTTTCCAAGTCCTTTTAAATTTTAAAAGGGATCCTGGGAAAAGCAATGTTTATGACATAATGTGGCTTTCCTAAATTTCCTTAGACTTTTCCTTGTGATCCATATCTTCATTATCTCGATGCTAGGTATCCTTGTTTTGTTTTGTTTTGTTTTTAAGAAAAGTACTTTTCTAAAAATCTGAAATTTCTTTTAGGTAAAGCTGTTCTTCCTCTCTGTTTTCCTCCCATCTTCCCTTTCTTTTTCCCCATCCCTTACCTTGCACTCTCCCTCCTCCCTCCTTTCTTTTTTACATTTATTCATTCATGTAACGTATTTGCACAAGGCCAGATGCTAGATGCTATTGATAGAGAGATGAGCATCATCCTCCTTGCCCTTTACATGGCTTTATTGGAATGAAAGATAGACAAGCAGCTAAGATCTTAAAGTTTGTGATAAATGCTATCACAGGTTATCCATTTAATGCATTAGAGTTTGTGAGAAGCACTAGCACAAGTTATCCCCTTAATGCATGGGAGGGAGAGAGATAGGATCAGAGCAACATTCCTGGAAAGGCAGAATGTTTTCGTTCAATATTGAAACATGGGTAGAAATCAGATAGAAAAAGGAGTAAAGGGTGTTCCAAGGCAGTTCCGATAGGAAATACTTGGTGACTTCTCAGGACTCCAGTTCCTCAGTTCTAAGGTTAGCAGGGAGGAAAAGAACCACAACAGCAGTAATAATTTCTTAAAACCCTAAAAATAAAAGAAAAATGAAGAAAAAAAATCCAAAGTAAATTTTCTTAAGGAAAAAAAGGAATCACATCTAGATTCATAAACTCAGAGGCAGTCATGTGCTCTAATAACTTCAGAGACAAAGGCACTGGCAGCATATGACCTCCCTCAGATCCTAGCTATGTGGGTTCTCCCCGGGGAAGGTTCTTCCTTCTGCTCCTGGCTGCTGGTGACCTCCAATCAGAGAGTGGTCTCAAAGGCTATTTCCACGGACCACAAGGAGAGTTTGGGTTGAGTCCTGACTTTGGAAGGTTGCTACTTAGATTTTACAGTGATATTTGAGAGCATTGTTTTTCTTAGAACCCGTGCCCACAAATAATTTATATCAAGGGAGGCATTTATTTTTTAGTAGACTAATGGGCTTTTGCTCAAACCTTTACTCTACCCAAACTCTTGGACTCTGATCTCATCAAAATCTTTCTCTGTTAGATTCCTCAACCTTGTCTCTAAAACTGATGGTTTCTAAAGAGCCGTGAGCTTTTCTGCAAGAAGCAAAATTTCTTGCTCTTGTGAAAAACACAACTCTGCAGTGTCTTCCTTGCTGGTCTTCAGGTTAACTTGTTTGTCCTCCAAGGATTCTTCCTCATTTCCATCCTGGATCCTTCTTGCAGCTGGGAGCTATCCTTCAATTTGACCTGAATGGAGAGGGTTTGGAGACCAACAATCTTAATATGGTAAAATGAGTACTAAGAGATTTGAATTGGATTTTCCCCATGTTGAGTAGACTAAAAGGAATAGATCTAAGGTTCAAAGGTTATGAAATCTATACCTCTGACTTTTATTTTCTCTTTCTGTTCCTTAGAATTTGTGTAGAGACAGAACAGCTTTTCTCCTTTGACAAATGCCAACTGCCAAGGTGGTCTGCAGGAGCTATGGGGACTTGAAAAGCATTCTTCATTGAGATAGAAGATAGCTTTTATCTCAAATCCATCTATCCGTCCATCCATCTATCCTAAATAGCTTTTTTGTAGGGAGAGGGATGTAGAAATCTAAATAAATCATGCTGAATAGTGCACAACTAAGTTGCCCCCCTTAGAGGTCATTTGACCACTATGTCCAAGAAATGGGACCCAGGGTGAAGAAAAGGCAGACACGCAGAGGAGTGGCACCTAGAAGAGTCGCACACTGAGTGTTGCCACATTCCCAAGGCCTTTTCTCCCTACTTCTGACTCCTTTTTTTTTTTTTTTTTTTCAGAACTGGGGATTGAACTCAGACCCTTGCACTTGTCAGGGAAGCAGTTATTCTGCTGAGCCCTCTCCCCAGCATCCTCCTACTTCTGTAGGTAGTGCTAACAGACACAAGGGTCCCCATTGGCCATTGAGTTGTGTTTTTTTCTTAATCTCTCACCAAAGGCAACTCTTCAGCTTTGCAGGTACCTGCATTTTCTTCCTGAAGTCTAAGACTTGGCCATCATCTTGTCTCCAGCTGTCCCTATTCCAGAAAAATCTAAGGACTCTCTCCCACATGGTCTTGCTTTCTGGCTAGAGCAGCTCCTTGCTAGAACATTTTAACTTCTCTGTGGCTTTGGGTGAGGCTGCTGCATGCATTCTTACCTGCCTTTCTGGATTGTCAGTTAAGGCTTTGAAACACTTCTTTCGAGCCAGCGAAGGTATGGATGGGATGCAGGACTTTTCTCTGGCATCATGAAGTGGTTTGTGGGGTCTTCCAGGCCCTTTAGGATGCAGAGTCCATGGGCTCCCAGGCTCCAGGTAGGCATGCACTCACCTGGGATGGTGCAGTCTTCCTCAGAGAGAAGCTGGACTGTGATCTCTTTGTGTAACAGGCCTTTTTATAATTCTACTGAGAGACCCACAGGAATAGGCAATGAGAGCATGAGCTAAGACCCCAAAGGACTCAGCGGACAGAGAAATAACATCCCCACATCTACCCATGTGCCACTCCCCATTAGCCTGTCTAAGGAGGTAATCTCACAAGGCTCTACTTCTGTTGTCACCGACACATAGAAGTCTCTCTATAATGTGTCTCCACTCTTTCAAGATAACCCAAACTCTTATGGTCAGCCACAGGGACAATGTGTTTCCTCATTAGACACTTTGGAAGACACGGCAAGCAAAGTGTAGACAGTTATGGTCCTTGGGGCCTAGGAATTTATGTCTCTATTTTTCCTTTCCTTTCCTTTCCTTTCCTTTCCTTTCCTTTCCTTTCCTTTCCTTTCCTTTCCTTTCCTTTCCTTTCCTTTCCTTTCCTTTCCTTTCCTTTCC